GGTGAAAATACATTTAAAAAATTCGCTTTATAATATCTAATATCAGATATACTAATTTCCCCGTTCCTGGTTTCGCGCGACAACGTTGCGCAGCTACTTATTTAATAATTCACCTTTTTTAGAATTATCCGGGTCCTGCTATAGCACTACGTACGTACGTACGTACGTATAAAAATATTCTCTTAAAATATGCATACGTATTAAAATTTAGAAATCATTTACATATTTAAATAAATTTTTTATTATACGTATATGCATAAAATTTATTGTGTATATACGTATATACATATATATAGTTAGTATTAACTGCCACTATATACAAGATAACGATAATACTAACTTATAAAAGTATGCATAGGCATGAAACGGCATGCCTAAAACTAAAAACATGTTTCTCTAGTCATGCCTAAAAACTTTCAGTTAAATATGACGAAAATTGTAACACGTAAACCGTTACTTGAATCAAATCGATTTGGTTTTCTTTTACGGTACTTCGTTGTTAAAAGTGATTGTTACCCTAGATTGATTAGATCTTGATAATTTTTGTGATGGAGTTGTTAATAAAGAGATGTATACTGCATATATCGATATTGTTTTACTTAGTATGTATAAATATATTGTAAGAATGAGTGAATTTCTTAATAAAATTGAAATTTTAGGGCAAATTTCTTTTATATGAGCACACAATGTATATATGTATTTATTGCTAATATATTTAAATGGGAACCCCAAATTTTAGCAATACGTAGCATAAGTCGCCACAATTTTTGAATCCATAAATTTATACTGGTGCATAATCCAAATACTTTTTTGATAAGGAAAACACCGGATATGACCAGTCGACAACAACTCTAAATGTTATTGATTCCAGGGGGGAAGTCTGCAACAACTCAGATGGAGCGATAAATTTATTAGCACCCTTTCTGAAATAAAATAAAAATAAGAATGAAGCTTGTTGGCTTTCAAGTAAATGGTGTACGTACAGATAGATGATCCTGAACAACGTCCAGCTTGATTCTAAATATAGTGGTATAGTACGGAATACTATGACATTAAAATCCAGTAATTGCCAAATAGGAATTAAAGTGAATAATGTGGTCTGTCAAATGGTTTGATCTATTAACTAAAATTAGGGCGGTCACATGAATATATTATACCAAATATCGATATATACTGTAAATCAAACCAGTAAAACCAATTCGAGGTTAGCGTTAAGAAAAAAAACCCGATTATTTCGTTTCAACCAACTCCTCCTAAATGCAATATGACGGAAAAATGACAAATATCTGCATTTAGAGAGAACAAAATTCAATGATTCTTATGTACTTGATACTAAAAGAGTTGGAATTTGCACTTGTGTGTCAGTTATTAAATAGATTTAGGGTCTATTATAATTGGGGCCATTTATGTGGATAATTCGGCGAATTCGGCAAATTCAATTTTTCATGTACGTAAATACATATGTACGACTTAATTAACCACGGTTAACTGGTTAGACCAATAAGAATCTTCAATATCGCGTATGATGTGTGTCAAAAAGGAATTGAATAGACGCCAGTTATTAATTAATAAATAATATATAGCAGATAATCAAACCCCCAGTTGTCCATGAGGCTTAACAATCACATTTTACTTCACTATTTTTCTTAATATTGTGTATTTCGTCAACTTTCTCGGGCAAAGTAAAGCATGTTTTCTCCCGCAATAACTGAGCCTGTTGAGATCAAAAATCGTGACAACACACCAAGTAATAATAACGTTCCTGATACACATAGAATTAATAATATAAACCGACTTATTTCCCCTCCACAAGGGCAAAATATTCAATTATCGAAATCTCAACCTAGCATTCAGAATAAACCTGGTACTTCACCTGATATTAGGTTAAGTGCTTCTGGTGGTTATGGAAGGTCTTTCGGATCTTTGGAACATAATTCAGAGGCTATTCCCATCGACATTCCTGATGAAAGAAAGGCAGAGATAATCAGAAAGCACCTCGTCACAGAGGAAGATTTTGCTCGTAGCGCCGAGAATGGCGGCAGTTCGACAGATCCACTTGCACTTTATTCAACATCTCATCATAAGTTGCCTGGATTAGATGCAACTCATGAGGTTTATAAATGGCATAACAATATAGAAATTGAGCCTATGAAACGTACTCGTTCTCGTTCTTTATATATACCACGACCAACTGATCCAGATATGTCTAATATCAGGGAACCAGGCGGATTTCGTCGTCATCATATGATGATGAAGGCAAGGCAGGAAGGCAAAGAGCTACCTAACATTATAACCCGAAACTTTATCGATTTTCTTGCAATGTACGGCCATTTTGCCGGTGAAGATTTGTCGGATGATGAAGAAGATAAGGAAGATGATATTGTTATTACAGAGATGACTCCGTTGCTTCAAAGAGAGATTCCCACTCACGCTACTGCGTCATCTTCGAAAGCTGTGTTTTTACTTTTAAAATCATTTGTTGGCACTGGTGTTATGTTTTTACCAAAGGCGTATGTTTTATGTTTAATACACCATATGCGATTTTTTTGATAATATAATTCGTATCAATTTTTACATCATTAATTAATTAATTATAGGTTCTATAATGGTGGCATGCTTTTTTCAACAATAGTCCTGATTGCAATCGCTGCAATATCATTATGCACATTTTTATTACTTGTTGAAACACGGACTTATGTCCCATATAGTTTTGGTGGTATGTATCAAATCTAAAATAATATAATTTGCAAAAATTCTTCGCTAACTAATCTAATTACTAGATATCGGTGGCGCATTATATGGTCGTTGGATGAGACTTGCAGTTCTATTCTCAATAACACTTTCTCAGGTACAAAATTATTATTAATTTCATTTTTTGAAACTTTAATATATATATATATATATTTATTCTTTTTCACATAGATCGGATTTGTTTGTGCGTACATGATCTTTGTTGCCGAAAATCTCTCTTCGGTTACTAGATATTTTGTAGATATTAAAGAGATGGACATATCTTGGTTTATTATGGGACAATTGTTTGTTTTCGCACCACTCGCCATGATTCGTCGTATATCCAGATTGTCGTTTACAGCATTGATTGCAGATGCATTTATTATGTTTGGACTATTATATTTATATTATTATGATATTTATCGATTATCAACAATTGGCGTCGGTGAAATCAAATCATTTAATTCAGCGGATTTCGCTATGTTTATTGGCACTGCTGTTTTCACTTTTGAAGGGATTGGTCTAGTGAGTGTTAACAACATTATTCATATGCCCTTTCCCCCTATAATAAATCCTTATGTTTGTAATTATTTCAAAGATCATTCCAATAACAGAATCTATGAAAGAACCCGAAAAATTTCCCAAAGTTTTAACTGGTGTCATGATCTTCATTACCATCATTTTCACATCAATTGGTGTTTTATCTTATGCCGCTTTCGGTAAAGAAGTGCAGACTGTAGTTATTCTAAATTTACCCCCCAATGACCCATTAGTTCGAATTGTTCAATTGCTTTATGCTTTGGCTATTCTACTTTCTGTACCTTTACAATTGTTTCCGGCCATAAGAATCATGGAACAAGGTATATTTGAGAGAAGTGGCAAAGATAACCTTTTGGTGAAATGGCAAAAGAATTTGTTTCGATTTTTAACCGTAGTAGCTTGTGGATTAATTGCATGGGGAGGTGCATCGGATTTAGATAAATTTGTTTCATTAATTGGATCATTTGCATGGTAAATATATATTTTCTTTAAAAGAAAAAAATTTGTAATGTGTTATGGTATACAATACTATATTTATCTACTTTCGTCTATTCTAGTGTACCTCTATGTTTCTTATATCCGCCCCTTTTCCATTTCAAAGCAGCCGCACACACTTTAGGTGCGAAATTACTTGATGTAACTGTATTTTTATTTGGACTTTTTTCACTGATTTACACAACTTATATGACTCTTTATAAATGGAGTGAAAAATCATAAACAATATGTCATGTGCATTCATGTAGTCAAATATATGTTTAAATTATTAAAAGATATAATCTTATACAGGAAGGGTGAAATTGTATAACAATTACATATATATATTTTTCAATAAACTAGACTAATAAAATGTGTTTGTTAAATCACCATTTATAAATTACACGCTAACACAAATTTAAACAACCAAAGTGAATATCCTCTATTATATATATATGTTATCAAAAATTTTTAGAGCTAACCAAAGACATATAGTACGTTTACATAGTATAAACAAGAGTGCACTAAACTTATACGTATAAAAGGAAGACATAATAACGGAAAAAAATAATTGATTTTTATAATTTACGCCGCGAGTCGGATCGGAAGGAAATTTCCGATGATGGCAGACTGTACAATTTATTAGTAAATATATATGTAAAAAGAATAAAAATAAAAATGAATAAAAAACAAAATAAAAAACAACATACCGGTCTGCATAATCAAAAATATAAATAAACGAAAATAATAATATCAAAATATATTACAAATTAAATGATTGTACATACATGTTATACTTATCACGGCGAATTGTGAATGAAAAGCAACACGATGTAACATTTTGAAGATCTTGATCTGGTCCCTTCAACAAGCATGATGTCAATACGGCTTTTTGACCTGCGTCAAAAGCAATATTTCCGTATTTCTATTACAATTGTACGATTTTTTTTTTTTAGTTGAAGAAAACATTTATTACATAATACAAATATAGTAATAAATTCGAGATAACAGACCTCCCAATAATTTACAGCCGATTCTTCCATCATCAACTTTTTCGATTGACAAAGAATAAATATCAAGTTCTAGCTGCGATATATAATATTGAATTATCAAAGTTTAGCCTACATTTACACTCACCTCGTATATACACAAGCGCCCTTCCCTTAACATGTCTACATGCACACCTACAAGAGAAGCGAATTCTTTATTGCCCTTATATATCTCCCCTGTCCTGCGCCATAGACATGCCGGAATACCCATAGTGCTAAATACTCTATCATAATCCTAGTATACATAAAAAATACCAAATCTAAGCACGGTTATAATTTATCAAATTATTAATAACGCATGTAAACTAATGATGCTTGTTCGAACCAATAAAAGACGTTCAAATACTCCTTCAACCACAACCAGATCAATGTCCGTTAATGATAGTGCAACGTTACGGAAGGAAGGACGGAAAATGCTCAGTGAATTCAAAATTCGTTGTTTACTTAGATTAGACATACTATCATATTTAAAAAGAATAGAGAAATTATTCTACAACTATTCAACCGACGGTAGAAAAAGTACTTTAAATTCTTACTGATTTTCCATATATTGTGCCAAGCGAGCGTAGCCATTAACGTAATTATATGGTTTCAAGAATCCAGCTTCATACTTTGCGTTAATTACTTGGGTTAATCGGTCTTCAGACGTACCATCCGATGGATCGGCTGCGGTTAAAAGAAACTTTTCGGTGGTATCTACCGGCGGACCGTTATTATTGTGCTGACTTTGTTGGTTGCCGTCCACACTCTCCAAAAAATTACTTTCCACAAAAGAATAATTAAGTAAACATATTGTAGGTAATTTAAGCCGTGTCACTACCTTGTTAGGAACAAACCAATTGAATAAATGATGCAAAGTTTCTCCGTAGATCTTACGTAAGCACGGTGAATTCATGACCCGTATGTTCGCTGGCAAAAGTAAGAGGAGTAGGTAACGTCGAACACGCAAGCTGTGTGAGATCTTGAAAGTTGGGGTAATTATTTGTCGTTCTCAAAACTAGAAAAGAAATAGATAAAGAAGGTTAAATATGTACAAGAAATTTCAAGAACAATATCAATTAAATATATTTTTACCTTGAGGAACAGATTGCATTGTTATGAGATTAGCCGGCACAGTATTATTTCCGCCACCCACTTGTTGAGGACCGTGAGAACCTTTTGGCTCATCGTGACAAAGATGCCCTATGCTTCTCTTTATACAACGTTGGCAAGGACGACCTGATTTAGGGTCAGAATTAAATTCTGTTCTAAATGAACGATAATTCAAATATGGACGAAAATAGAATTACCATCGTCACATGTCATATGAGATCGCCTACAATATACGCATGCTATAAAATAGATTAATTAGTGAGCATGTAATGATTCATAGACGAGACAATCCCATAAGACGAGCTCAAATACCGTGAGTAACTTTTCTTCTTTTAGGACCAGCTCTCTTTTTCTTTGTATCAGCCTCCTTTGTTGCTGGTGAGGTCTCACCAGATTGAGATTCATGCTCGATCTTTATCAGCTGATTAGTAAAGTTCGCGGAGTCCAAGTGTTGAGATTGTGGTGAAGTGACGGGTTGTTGCTGGGAGTTATCCATTGGTAGCTCTGACACTTCTTGGGAGTAATGCTGTTGGGAAGGAAGGGATGTATTATTATATTACTGTATTAGAACATATACTTGGAGAAATGCTTAGAAATGCTTGGAGTAAACATCAGATCAACAGATCTGTATCACTTGGTCAAAAGATAGCCAATCAGAACACTAAAACCGAGTTACCACATGTCACATCCGTGACAACTCACCTGTCATCCTCGACCTTCAGAAACATCATGGCCACTCGACCACAAAACCAAGCGTCCTTGTATGTTCCCGAAAAAGTTGATGATGGAAGAATCGGCTGTAAATTATTGGGAGGTCTGTTATCTCGAATTTATTACTATATTTGTA